AGTGCAGAATCGAGATAGACGGATACGCTTGATTGCAGGCTGTGTCGATGCAGAGGATGCCAGGATTTTGACGTCTTGTCGGTGTGAGAAGCAAAAATCACTTGATCAATGTGCCAGCTCCTCCCAGACTCGAGTAAGACACTGAGTTTGTCATCTCCCTCGCGCCGAATGGAGGTCACAGATGCACTTTTATGAAGGTGAGGTTGTGGAAGTTCCGTAATATAGCTTCTACATAGGTACGAGCGCCCCCAGGGATTGTTAACCACTCTGGCTGACCAAAGACTTGTAGTAGGTGATGGTTGGAAAGAATTGTACAAGAGTTTTCACCGGGAATAACAGAGCGGTTTTGTCTGCGGGGGTTGACCAGATGGCAGAAGTCATTGGCTGTTGAAATTGAGGACATTCAGCCCTATGAAGTCTTTAGCACATATGCGGAACAAACGAGCTTACCAGTAGGCAATGACGCCTGAACGCATCTGAATAGCCATTTTCGTTCAAGTATTCCCCAACACTCAGCGATGGACGTGGATCGAGCAGGGCGTCTGGGGCGTTGGCATTGAAACGGATGATATCACACAACATGCGAGCTTGAGCGCCCCAATCAGATGCCCCAGCAAATGCTGCCATTAAACCTGTCCCAGCCCACTCATACTTTGAACCGACGCAAACTGAGAAAGACATTTCGGAGGGACCACTTCGAACGCCCGGTATAGTGAGAAGTCGGGTGAAGTTAGGATACGTGAGCCGATTAAAAACGATGAAACCAGTGTCTACCATAGCATTGGTGGGGAGTGGGACGGTATGGGTATGACCACCAACATATTCATTTGCTTCGAAAAGTTTGACTTGGTGCTCGGAATGTTCATTCAAAAGCTGATCAATTTGTCAGTGAAACATCAAGTATGGAACGTTCAGAGGGTGTCTCAAACGCTCACCCAGACAGCACCTAGTCCACTGATTCCACCTCCAATGACGGCTACCTTCATTCTGAGATGGGCGAAAGAGATCAGGGATTGATCAAGCTGCACAGCCAGTGCAAGGGCTAGAGATCGATGCAGTGACTCAGACTGTGACGTCTTCATCAGCGCCCCAAGGTTTGATGCCCAAAACCACCGGGGCCGGCGCCCTGACTACTCGCAGCCATTGGTCATCTGATTTCACCTCAGCTGCCAAGGGAGTTCTGAAGATGCGTGCTTTTAATGCTTCCTGCAGCTTGGATGGCACCGTATTTTCTAGTGTTCAATTGACGCCCTCAAGATTTTCTCTCCGGGCTAAAAGTGAATTTGCATGTGCGCGGTCATGTACAAAGTGCTATGCCTGTGCGCTGAGGTGATTTCTCATCTCCTGAGCTTTGGTGCAATACCTCAGACTGTTGACTGACCATAAGCTCAGTAAAGTAAAAAAACGTGGAAAGGAGGGAATTTCAGGCTTTTGACTGAGGAGAAGGTCTGTGAAGGAACAAAACATTGAAAAAGAGTTAAGTGGAAACAAAGTCGGGAAGATCTGACCATCTCGACGTCGAGAAGGTCTGTGGTGGACGCAGTGTAGGAGCAGCCGGAATGTATAGGAAATCCACACGATATGTTTCCCGTACATATCTCATTGGCAAATTGTTGTTGAAACCGTTGGATGTCGATTGAGGTATTGATGAGACCATTCCAAGTGTCCGTGTTGCCAACGTAATGTTACCACACGTGAAATAATCAGCAAGCAATAATGGGGGAATTGATCTGTTTTCAAGCCAAGTTAAACATGTGACTGACATCTGCTGTTCGCGGCGTATTAACCTGGAGGGATCCGATGGCGTATAGTATTGACTGGCCTACTCGATGAACAAGGTTGCTGGCTATGAAAAGCAGGGGTGGCAGAGGATGAACAGAGCCAGATGTGTTTGAATATCACTGTGCGTGATGGATTCCTATCGCGGTGGTGGATTGGTTGCGTTGATTCCTGATGGTGTCAAGGATGACATGAGGTGCACAGCTTTGTGTCTCAAGACGTACAGACATGCAATGACATAGGTTTTTTTGTGACAATCATTGTGATTTGAGATCATCCTTGGGCAGGAGGTTACTTGAACTGTTTGTTGTTTCTGACAAACTGGTCATTGTCTTAATTGTTCACATCGAGGTTGTTGATAGAGATGGCCAAGGCAATAAGTATATGGGAACGGAGTAGGGATCTGATTGACAACGCTAATGCGGAAATGATGATAATGTAGATGACAAGGCGGATGGCACAAGGCAAATGGAAAACCTTGCGCTTATCCCTTGTGAAATGTCGTGGATAGATGTGAGGTTGTGCAGATGCGCAGATCCGATTGGTTTCTGCCTCAAGTAAAATACTTGTTTGGCTGAGGGAACGGAGAGTTTGGTCGATTTTGACCAGTTTTGTTTTTGAACCCTTCCTTCGTTTAATTGTTATGAATGATAACAATGCAGCCTGGTCGGCATAACAAATGTCTCACGAGAGAAAACACAAACCTGTTTACTGAAGAGTAAAACAAAGACTTCAGCATTGGAAAACATTGAACATTTTGATATCAGATGTTGAAGTTGTGAGTCGTGTGTCATGGGTCTTTCATAGGGTTTCATGCCCAGCCAGACAATATGCTGAAATATTAGCATCTGTATTGTTAGGAGATTCATCCAGGGCTCGAGAATGAAAGGGACGCCCCTGGGAAATCAAAAGTCTTGAAAACGAGCTCTTGTCCACCGTCCACTCGATAGTTACCTTTTTTACCAATTTGCTGCGTTTTGTGAGTCATCGATTTGACTCTATCGAAATTTCTTCAGCTCGGGGAATCAAAATTATGTGACCAAAGGTTATCGTTCTTTTTCCGCTCAACTGGTAAAGCCAGTGACAGACGAACCATCGAATTTGATGGGAGGAACTCGAACAAATTCGCGGCGAATGGAGGGCATACATATCCAAACTTGCTCTACTCTACGATGGTATTATACTCATGGTGCATGATTCAAGAACGTCTTGTTTTGATAATCTGGTCGAATAATAGTCAAGTCTTGTATTGAAAGGATGACTCGGACCGATGAGTTGTTGACCATTGCGATAAGACGACTGCTTGTGCTCCGCATTAGGGATATCCTTGGCCGTCCATTCATAATTGAACGCAACTTCAAGATGTCTGGGTCTCACACCAGAAATCCCAAAACAATCTAGATGGTATTGCGAGGAAGTCGCTCGTCAGGGCCAATTGATAAATTGAATTTGATGAGACGCAATCATGACCACGTCTTATTGACAACTCTCATCAACTTTCAAGATGTTCTCGATTGTAGGGAATCACTGAAGACGTCTTGATGACCGTAAACAAAGAGAGTGCTCATTGACATCAACTACGCACAAAGTGGGGACGTATCCTCATTAACAAGCGTCCGATTATTCCTCCACAATCGACATGGCTCTCAGCCGGTTGATCTATGAGCTTTACTCGCATCAATGGATTCAAGCTGATCAGAAAAAAACAATCGGCGTCAATGGTGATAAGATTAAAGTATAGACACAGATTCACACATATATTTTTGTAGACTATGTATGATGGGTAGATCTCCCATCCTAGACTCCCAACAATTCTTGAATATCTTCATCTGATTCTTCAGGTTCTGTAAATCAAGAATCACTCTCAAATGGTAATTTAGTTGAAGTACTTCCAACAAACCATACATAATGATTTGGTTTTGAATAGCTTCTGTTCGGTAATCGTGATTGTGGAACAATTGGTCCATCAATCGATTCATTGTCAACATTTTTATCTAAGATTGTTGGAAAATATACGGATTGTTATTTGGTTACCTAGAACCACCAGTTTGTAAGACAGGTAAAATTGTGTATTTATTGTTTGATCCTATTTGACTTGGTAGAGATAAACAAGACGGATTTCTACGATGTGATGATGAACATTCCTATCTTGCTAAAAATGCTAGTGACAGTGGTGCTAATGGTTCATTATCAATTTCAAGATTATCATTCATTGATTCTAGACTAGTGCCTCTAACACCATCTATCGATTTATGGCTCTTGGCTCCTAAGTGCATCAGAATTCCATCCAATAGTTTCTTCGATCTACCTTCTTGTCTAGTAGGTGTAGAGTTTGGTGGCCGTGGCTTTGGGATCACAGGTGGCGAAGAAATAATTGAGGTGATCTTAATTTGTTTTGTGATATATTATTTCGCCTATGTGATAATCTAATATGCATGTCAATCATTGAACCATATGGTGTGAATGACCCAATTGATTGTGATGTACCACTTGTAAATGGCAGTCTTCTCTCGACAAATCTAACTCTATAACAAAATTCCCCGTTGATGGGGCTCGTGGAGATGGTGATCTACTAAAAGTAGGAAAGTGTGGTGCTGACACTGGAACTTTGACCAACAAATGTGTACTATTGTTTTGAGGATTTAACCTAGAGACAGCAAAGCTTTCGGAGTTCGAGGAATTATGTTGAGATCTTCAGATATTTCGCTAAGCATGGACCCGGGTTATTGGTGATATAGAGAGACCATTACGTGTTGCTCATGCGCTAGGAAAATCGTCTACTTGAGGCTTTGATCATATTCAATGTCAGTCAGATGATTTGAATTATCCATAGGGGAAAGAGACTCGCCAAAATGTTGGGTTTTACTTTCACTTGCGCGACCTGTTGAAGCAGCCAGCTTCTGATCTTCAGCAAAATGAAAAGTCTCAAGCATTGTTCCATTGTATAAGATAGTAGATTGACGACTTGTAATCCGATTCTTATGATCATTTTTGAGTCTGTTGTGTATTAGAATAGTCTTCTCACTCGTGGATCCTTAACTTGAGCAAACTTGATGGATGTTTGTTGAAATTTGACGGATGGCTTGCTCTACTCGTTTGTCTTAGACTCAGTGGTCGCGTTAGCGTTGTGTAATAAATCATCATTTAAGTCGAGATAGTCAGATCAATCCGCACAGGCCAGCCAGCTAAAGTCTCAACTCTTTGTAAATACAATATGATGTTTATGTATTCACGCCAGATGCGATTAGCTTTGAGATTGGACACCCATTATTACTCCATTAAATGGAAGACTGAGAAATACAAATGTCGTTAAGCCCTAGTATTTGAAGAGCTTGCTTCCTGGGTCTTGAAGCTAGAACGACTGAAAATCTAGAGAAACTGGTCCATTTACCGAGCAGGTGAAGACCAGATAGAGACCTGTAGAGATGTGCACATGTATAACAGCACTGATAATATTGGCCGGTGCCTCTAAAATCTGAGACCTTCCCTAAGATATGAGAGGACAGTTTCCACTATGAAGTGTTCATGCATGAGGTGATTTGAGAGAGTCTAAAGAAATGATGTCTATTCCTCAATGCGAACGTTATGAGAATAAAAACACTAACTTGCGCGGATGTGCACACGTATAACAACACTGAAATCCTCGGGGGAACCGCTAACATCTGAGACCTTCACTGAGCGACAAGAAAACAGTTTCTACTGTAAAGCGATGATGTATGAGGTGATTTGGGACTATCTCGACAAATGAAGCTCATTCTTTCATTCCTCGATGCGAACGCTACGAGAATGGACACACTAATAGATCACCTAGATATTAAACTCACCAAAGCTTCTTGGGATGCTATATCATGTTGTTTGATCTGTTTCTCGGACAACTGGGCAAAGTAAATTCAGTCGCGGATTAGATGGGATCATACTTGGTCTGGGGGTACGCTTGATTCTGACGCACACAAAACCGTGTATTGAAAGGAAGACGCGTGCAAAATAGCCAAAAGATTAGGTCAACCATGATATGCATATCTCATGTTTGTCGCTTCTGATTATGCATATTTGTGCTTAGGATCCCGGATTCTCGGCGCGGGTTCCTCATCATTTGAGGAGTACACATACGTTATACTTAGCTTCTACAGTCCCTTTCACTCTACCTCTGACCTCATCACTTTCCAAGTCTCGCGACGTAGATCTCATCCTCTTCTTTTGATCACATCCGCCCTGATCAACTGAGTTCAATCTACATCATCAAAATTACCTACGGACCCTAGGATATACCCTACATACATTCTTGGGAAATGAAAGAGAAGTTTTCACTGGCGATTTTAAAGATGACCTATCTGTTGAATGATCATATCCTGTTTGATCCCCTTTTCTACTTTCACTTTTCCTCATCTCTTTTCCTTTTCGCTATTTTCTCTTTTTCAGAGCTATGCCTCAGGTCTTGAGCGTCGTGCTATGGAGCCCGATGAAAGCGCAGACTCTGTCTGTCAAAGGCCGTTGGTCATCCACCTAGACGACAGCCTCTCCGCACCTCCTCCAAAGCCTACAGTCCCCTGCCGAACCAAGATCAGAAGGATGTGTCCAAATGATTACGACAAGGATGGATTGGTATGTCTCTTTATCTATCTCATCTTTTTCTTACTATCCTTCAGACGCGTCCGTTCGGTATATTCATTCTTTGCAACTTTGAAGGATTATGAATCGGGCAAACTTCGAAAAGCTATTCGAGCTGCTCAAGAAGCTTCTCAACCCCAATCCAGTCGCAAAGAGCTCTTGGTTATCAACTGCGGACCAGATGAACCTTCACCAGTAGCTGGACCCTCATCGCGCTCTGAAACCTTGACCGAGCCCAAATTAGACTCCATTGTGAAAGTCCTACGTATGTACCATCCTGAACTTCAACTATTTACAAATCTCAATATCAATGATACGATAACTCTGACCCATCTGTAGGTTCTCACTCACTGAATTCAATCGAGAAGCTCAAGGCCGCGCTTGAAAAAACAAAGGGAAAGATGCGATCGCGAGCTCAAAGTCAGTAATTTGTACACTCTTTGTCATTCAAAATTGACCATATATCTCGTTCTTCAAAGAGGTCTCCAGAAAACTGACGCTCTCTCCCTTCTCTATCACAGGCTCGGTCGACCAAACTCTTTCAAATGCAAACCCCGAACGTTTTATCAAGCGAAGGGGATTAGTAATAGATCCTGAGGCTCTTCAAGGTGCATTGAAGGAAGAATTTGGACTTGAACTCAACCCTGATCCTAACTCCGGATATGCCTATGCTACACCTAGTCAACAATCTCATGACTCTGATGCCTCTGTCTATAGTCAACAATCTCACGACTCTGATGCTTCTATATATAGTCAAACCTCTGCCTGATGTTTACACCCAGGCCTAACTTTCTTGAATTTGTACCCTCCTTTCGGGTCTTAACTGTTGCTCGAACCCGTATCTTGATGATCTTACAACTTATATCTTCATGACCTCTCAACAACTTATACCTTGATGACCTTTCAACAACTTATATCTTGATGAACCCACAATGTATCATTATTGCTTGCAATTCCTTTCCAACGACCAATTCAATTTTACTGTATTCTGAATGATTGGATTGGCAAGTCTGACATTGAGATAAGATGACATTACCTACATAATGCAGGTAGCCTGAACCAATGTCGAGTTAAGCATCGTCCACATCTGCACAAAACCCTGGAATCAAATCATTCTCAGAATGCGGGTTTACTTTGAATTCAGATAGTTCTGAATATCAAGATCTTGACTAAGTTAAATTCTCATACAAAAACTTCAAGTAAACATGAAAATTTATAAGCATTGAGACGAGGAAAAAAAAAATCTTTATATCTTGTTTTACATTGACTCAATTTTGTCAAGACTTCATTAATTATACATTACACAGTATGAGGACACTTGGATTTGATTTATCCTTCATGTGGCATTCATATTTCCTGTAGTTTTTTCCAGGGAGCTTTAATCAAAGACTGACCACAACTTAATTCTGCATTTTCCAAATCTACCATGCATTTCTAAAGATTATCTCAGCCTTGTATAAGGTATGATATGGAGTATTAAAGATAGAATAAATAAGACAAGATATGCTTGTTGAGACAAAGAATCTAAGCCTAAAGTAAGTTGAGCAGATCAGAGATACCATATCATTGAAACAAAATTCCAACTTTCGAATTGTATTGCCTCATTCGGGGATTTTTTTGCTGCAATTTCTCAGGTCATAGAATTGTTTGAGGTGGAAAGTATTGTACTTCAAGTAAGACCAACTGTAGTTGAATGTAGTTTAGTTGTATTGAGCCGCATACCAAGGGTCCAAGTTAATTGAGAATACTCTGTCACACTGAGGCGACAAAAATAGTGAAGGCTTTGACGTGAAAATCCAATGCGCAACTCATGAGTATAACTTAGTTGAAATTATGCATCAGGAATTAGGTCAAAGTGGTTGAACACCCCAGCAAGGGGGATTTTCTCCCTTGGACCCACTGCTATGAACATAAATGAAATCCAGACTTATCAAACCAGAAAGTCAACTGGGATATCCCTTAGTTTACAACTCAAAGTTTGTGAATTGGTGCACCACAATAAGGAGACAAAAAAATGAGATGTTTGGCATGAGGATGCAGATTGGTTTTAATGAGTGTAATTGAGCCAAATTTGTGGGCTCTACTAACATGATTGAACGCTCCAAAGAGGGGGATGTTATCACTCTGGCTTGTTTGCGGTGGAAGCAATAGTTGAAGGCTGCCTGTACTAAAAACAGAAGGTTAAGTGTGGCGTTGGTGGAATTTGAGAATGAAATGAGAAAAACAAGATGAATGGGTGAGTAGAAGTGGAAGTTTTGAAGCCTTATTTCCATTGGCGATGTAGGAAAGGAAGTACTACTGTCTACCTGAGTGATAGGGGGCTATTTATGGGAAGCATTACAAATAGAGTTGATGCCGGTATACACAGCGGATAATACAATGAAACAACCAACAAAGTATTTATACAAACATAAGTTGGAATCTTTTGTTTTGAGCCAAAAAGTAGTACTTTGAAACAGTACTTTTCAAAGGGAAGGAAAATCACATTATAAGTGATGAGTTGGAGACTTTTGGATTTCAACCCAAAATGTAGTGGATTTCATTGTGTACCAAAAGCACAGGAATTAAAAGCGCTAAGTTGGAGACTGCATTTCTAACCAAAAGAATGTGATTTTGCAAGACAGTTGCAAAAGCACACGTGGTGGAAGTGTATGCTTAGGAAATGTCAAAGGGAAGGAAAATCACATCATAAGTACTGATGAGGTGGAGGCTTTTGGATTTCAGGATGAGATGTAGTACATTTCATTGTGTTGCAAAAGCACAGCACTTAAGATCGGTAGTGTGATTCCATAATCCGCTGATTTCCCTTTGTTCGAGATGAACGCGCTTATCATACGTTCTATTCCTTTTCAATAAGGGGTTTCAAGTTCAAATTTTTTATATGTTTTTTTAACAACTTGGTCAAGTTTTATACAACACCATAAGATTTTAAACTTGACCGTTTGTAAAAATCCAGATAATTGAGGTCGTAAAAGAAACTTGACCGTTTCAATACCCAAGCTTTTAATAACTCAACCTTGGAATAAAGTGCTTGGTGCTGAGGTTCTCTTGGAAATCCGAGAAACCCTTTCTCCTCATGTAAAGACAGGGAAAGAAGAGAGGAAAAACTTGACCAAATAATTTTTATAAGCGTATGTTTACGCTAAATTTAAAGCGGGAGACCTAAAAAGGTCGACCATTTTAAAAATATTTCACGTAAAATTTACAACTTTTTCCAAGTTTTTAAAACGTAAAATCACGTAAAAAAATCAAACTTGAAACCACTTAATGATTTTTAGCGCTTTCTCTTTCTCTCTTATTTCTTTATTCCTAAAGATGGATTCTCAATTGAGACAGACCCTATCAGATCCGCCCTGACTTATTGTATGTATTATCTATCCAATCACTAATTGTAGTCTCGAATCCAGCTGTACCGGATTCGAACAACCTCATCCATTGATCTCTTGTAAACCGGCAATCCCAGATTGCCTCAGCTTGTATCCATTCCTATTGTTATACTCTATTTCCTTACTCGGTTCACTCTACAATTTGTATGGAGGATGCTTGCCTATATAAGGAGCTCGCTCCTCCCTCAGTAATTCAGATCCCAAGTTACTTCCTGCTCATTATTTGCCCCTAAGATTGTGAGTAGAATCACAAATAGGGCGGTTCAAGTCAAGAGTTGCGATCCACCTGCTCGCAGAGTTGCAATCAGTCTTTTTAGGGTTGTCCGATCCTTAAAAATCCTGATCGTGCAGTTATGAACGCACTTAAATTTACGTTTTATGGCTTTGTATCTTCAGGTACACCGTCTCCCAATGCGCTTTTTTTTGTTTCTTTTTTTAATGTGTCTTGTTTTTGTGAGGAATTTTTTTTTTCATCAATTTGTTTTAATGAAAAGATGTCTCCGAGGCACGACGAGAGACTTGTGAAGCGTTTGATCATGTAATTATGTAGTATAAGACAGATAAAATGACTTCTTTTTACCAGAGACCGTTAGGATCCAGGAACACCCAAAAGAAACCAAATGATAAAAAAAGTATTTTTTTGCCCTTCGCGCCTGAATTTTTTTCAATGCCACGGTGGAGATTTATAAATTTCAAGACAACTTAGCAGATCGCAAATTGGTGAACCACCTCTAAAGGTGGTTCACCAACTTTAATTTTTACTTATAATTTAAAGGCCCCGAACAAAACGTAAAACTTAAAAAAGGGCTGTAAAAGGGCTACTTGAACCGCCCTAATATATATTTGTGTGTTTTTTACTACCCTTTTCTATCTCTAACTTCCAATCCTCAACCAATATTGAATAAGTTCAATATATTAATCAGTGATTCTGTTACCCTAACTCTGTGTTCCCTATTCCACACTCCGATCCTAGATATCCCCACCGGATCCAAATAAACCAGCAGTTATAACCCTCTCACTCCGATTAATATCGTTGTAAGTCTTTTTGAATTCTCTAGCTAGTTATTCCAAAACCCTCAAACAACACTTTTCCTCAATTAGTAAGACTTATTAAAAGGACTCTATTTCCTTTACACACACAGAATCAACCACCAAACACCTACAACCGTTATCAAAACTATCACCGTTTTATCAAAACCTTTTCTTATCGCGCTTTTTAGCAAATCGATTTTTAAATCAATCACTATTCTTTTTGAAGGATTTTACGTACATACTCTAGAATCTGATCAAGTCTGTAATATAAGAACAAAATTTTAATTCCTTCCATCTCAACTTTTACAAACTAGCATAGAAAGTAGGAAATGAGT